CCCCCCAAAAAAAAAAAAAAACTCTTATATAATTCCCCCATCTCCTAAAAAGGAACTCACTTCTCCAATGGCAAAAACAACAAAAATCCTCTCTTTTATCCTCCTTTTCTTTATCATCTCCGTATTTTCTTCAACCCCATCAAATGCTTTAGGTGGAAAAAAACTAGGTGGAAGAACACAAATCCAAGATGTGAAGACAAACAAAGAAATTCAAGATTTGGGAAAGTTTTGTGTTGAAGAGTATAACAGAAATTTGCAAAAACAAAAACAGAAGGTTAATAATAATAATGGGTTGTTGAGTTTTTCTGAGGTTGTTGAAGCAGAAAAACAAGTTGTTTCTGGTATTAAATATTACCTTAAAATCTCCGCAACTACTTCCTCAGGTGCTCCGAAAATGTTTGATGCTGTTTTGGTTGTTAAAGCTTGGGAGAAAAAGAAAGAATTGCTTAACTTTTCTCCTTCTCCTGCTACTAAGTGATTGTGGGATAATGATTAAACGTTTAAGCTGCTGGTTCTAATGCTTAATTAGAATACTTTAATCTAATTTTTAAGTCTTTTTGTTTTTTAACTTCTTTTCTAGTCTTTGATTTGTAACGTATTTTGGGTGACTTTTTAGTGTTGTACTATGTGATGCAATAATCAATGAACGACATATGTTATTGTTGAACTCTTGTGGTACTTTGCTGTTTTAGTTTTTTATTTTTATCTTATAACTGGCTTTCGTTACATACGAGAAGTTACAACACAGTGGATTCTTTACTTTTTCTTTTCTTTTTTTTTTTTTTTTTTTTTTTTGGCACAGTTGTATGGGTTTGAGCTTCCCAGTGACAAGTATTAATTTACTGTTCGAGATTTTAATTCTTTTAAATTTTTATATTCTAAATCAACATTTTTTTACGTATCTAATGGATTTCTCAATATCAATACAATATTTTGAATTCGTAACCTAAACTTTATTACCATTGAGAGTCGATTCGGCCAAATAAACAGAATGGCAAGCTTCATTACCATTCGAAAAATTCTATCGGTTCGAAACTAAGGGCTCGATTGACCATAAAAAAAAGATACATTTTTTTCGAAAAATTTTATTTTTTAAAAATCAGTATTTGTTCATGAAATTTTTTATTTTCATTTAGAAGATGAATTTCGGAATTTTTCGAAAATTTAAAAAACTCCGAAAAGTTATTTTTAAAATTTTTCACTTCAGATTACTCATAGAAATTCAAAAACATCCCAAAATTATATTCGTCTCCAACCATAAACTCTAATTTTCAAATATCATTTTTATTTGAATTTTGTTTTTCACTTTTTCCGAAATTTTACGATTCTTATTCCAAACGCACACTAAATCCTAAACTTCGGAGCTAACCTAGCCTCCTCCTAAACCCGGTGATCTTTCAACCTACTTTTTCTCCCTTTGACAGGATTGTATTTTTGGTTGAAATGGGATGGATTGTGTTCAAACTCCCGAAAGGCAATCTATGACCATAAACTGCACTCTTTAATCTATTTATTCTTGGCCTTCTTTATATCATAACATCGGCAAATGTTTTCTTCAAGAGTTTATTGAGTTTATGACGTACAGTATATCAACAAGTCAGTATCGGTAGATATCTTCTTGCCTAATGGAGTTAACTCAACATGCATAACCCGAGCGGAAGTCAAGATGCCAGCGGAATGATCGGCCGGACAGAGGCTAGGGCTGCTTCCTTCCCACCGCGTCCTATTGATAGGCAAATTAAAAATACGCAATCGTTGTTAAAATCGATCTGCCGTAAGTGGCCGAGGATATATCATACTAACAATGTGCATTAAAGTGAATCTGCCTTAAAGTGAAAATATTATAGTAGCAGTGTTTTGTCTTGTGAGCTCAGCACATAATGTGAAACGAAGAATAAAATATAATATAAAGAAGTTTTCATACAGGTTTGTCTTCGTAAAATTGATTAGACCAAGAAATGGAGCAGGACTAACACAAACTGGTGCGAATACGAGGAAATGGAGAGCAAATTGATTATCCAATCACATAGATTTGCGAGTATTATCCCCACTGTGGGGAGTCTACGACAGCATCAGATCACAAATAGGATTTCCCATCTGCCATTTAATTCCAAAATGATGTGATCTCGTTCGGTTGAAGGCGAAGTTTGTTTACGAGTAGTTAAGAATGGAGCAATTTTTAGACAAAGGGATCAAACACAATGTTGTTGGTTTACTAGGGGTATCGGACACCTGCATAAAAATCAGCTGAAAATGTCAAGACAGGCCGATGAATAAAAACTTACAATCAAAAACAATCATTCACCTATCCTGACATCTCCTTGATCGGATACTTGGATTTTACACCTAACAACCACCCTTCTCCCTCCAGCCTCTCTCTTGTGCATCTCCAAATTCAAACCAAACTAGACAATGGGTGAGTCTCGACATTCACTTGCACTTGAGCAACTAATAAACTTTCATCGAGAGTATCCAGTACCATGAATGGATATGCTTAAGACTACTTACGACTTAATCACAACTCCAACAAACACCTAAAATCCAGTAATCTAACTTCTATATGTAAATAGCAGTTTATGTTCTCTTGGTTTTATCTACAAAATCATGTTGACTTCCTTTCTACAACGAGCGATCAAAAGGAAACTCTTGAGTCATTTTCAGTCACTTTGAAGGGCTGAGGGTGCTGGCCAGAGCAATAGAGATTCCACATCTTAAAGTAAGAACGTTCCAGATTCCTCACCTGATAATGCAAGGAGAAAGAATGAGCAGTGTTTAGGCATCCATGTCACTCAAAACACCAGAATCAAGAAGTAAATCTGATGTTGCATTCGATCACTCACCCAGCGTGCTGTATCAAATAAAGGGCAGCTCATGCGCACAGCCTTTAGTCTATTTGTGAGATCTTGGAGCTTTGGACGATTTAGTGCCAATGACACTGCCTTCTCCTCATATTCCTTCATACTGCAAAATGTAAAGTAAATCAAATTCATAGAACCAAAAGGAATAGAATTAAGGAAACAAAAAGTACACAGCCCTTTTCTCTGATTCACCATGAACGTCAATGCAGGATATGCAGATGTCCTCAAGTAATTTTTACAAGCAGAATAAAATTATCAAAGATCCTTTAACTTGCATGGCCGTCTTGAGTTTAAATAAACAAACCTTGAGACAATGCCACTATGGATGAGGTAGACAATATGAATAGATGAGGAAGCCAGTTCCAAAAGGTCACCAAATTGGGCATCCAAAATAGTCCCACGTACAAGAAGTCCCTGATTTCTAGAGGACTTTCTTCCTCTCCGAATTATCAAGGAACGGATGATTTTAAGGAAAAAATATTCATATTACAGAAATGACTACTTTACAGGAACCGTGTCATGTTGACCTTATTGCACAGTTCAGTCATTTTTGTCTTGTCATTTAATCATCTAATTTTTGGTATAGGCGCCAGTCTTCTTCAACACACACACACACACACACACACACACACACACATATATATATATA